AGACCTGGTCTCTAAAAACCACATAGATATTGTCAATCAGAAACTCAAGTATCTTTTTTTTTAATGTCAACTTCAGAGTACTTGTGTGTACAATCAGAATGTTTTTACCAAAATAATTTTGCAAATGACCAATGACAAGGTAAGTAAATTTACGAGTTCCGTTTTTGTTAAAAAAGCAGCTGTCAATGATATCAAAAAGCTTATACTTTAATTTATCGAGGGTAATGTTGTGTATTAAGTTGAAAAGTCGTAAGTTTTTAAGCTGTTGATTTTGGTAAATTCTTGTAATTTCAAATTTTCTAATAGTTCCTCGGAATTTTTAAGTATCCACATCTGATTTTCACCACTTCTCGAATATATTGTTGCACAGTACTCTTGAAGTTTCTCCTTCACTACTGTTAATATCTTAGTGAGGAGTAAAGAAAGAGGCTTGGTTGAACATTTACTGGAACCCGCTATGTATCTTTGTTTTTAAGGATTTTTATGAAGTTTTGGAATCCAGTAAAGATATGGAAATTCAAATTCATTTTGGTTGTTTGGAATATTAAAAATATTCAAAACTGACATATGATATTGAAGAATTTCTTCCTTAGAAAGGGAACTATGAGTATAAGTTGGATTACCACTTGTAGAATTAAATCCAAGTTTCTCTAAAATACATTTAATATAATAAGCCTTACAAACAAAGATAATGTTGTTACCTGCTTTGTCAGCAGGGACCAGTACGTACTGATCATGTAATTTATCTAATTCTTTTTTCACTTATTGATTATTGAATACAGAAGGATAGATGGTTCTCATATTGCCCCTCAATCATTTAATGCGAGATTTTAACATACATCTAATGCATTTAATCCATTCTGACAAAGTGTCAAGGTATTCTTTTTCATGTCTTGCCCATGGCCTGGCGTAATCATATACAGAATCCATAATATTTATGAAATTCCAACGCCAGTTAATGATCGGGGTTTCGTATATTTAGGACCTTTTAACATTAATGATCTAATGTCTTCATTATTAACTATATTTACGTCACCAGTAATGACGTGTCCAGCAGGACTATAGTTATAGGGTGAAGAAGAACATAAACACGATGGAGGATTATGTTTCAGATATTGGATATCAAGGCCCTGTAAAGTTTTCTTGCAATTAAAATGTTTGGAAGCAATATACGATGTATATTTGTAGGAAATACAAGGTGTAGTCTTTAACTAGAAATATAGTGGAATACAAGACTGGACCTTTATGTGATTAAGAATATTATTTATATTAACCGCGTCAATACCTTTGTTGGCATATTGAAGTTTAAGGCAAAAAAACGGATTGGTTTAGCTGCATTTTCTTCAGTAAAACGTGGGGGTTTAAAAAGCCTATTATTTGCAATATCCATAATCACAAATCCGAGCCTATATTCTGGTGTCGAGAAATCAAAAAATGGACTTTCCTTGACCTTTTCAAGAAAACTGTTTAAAAGTTTCAAAGGGACATAGTAAAGTTTGCTGCGAATATGATGTAGACTTAACTGTTGATTTACCTAAGGTAGTAATGAATCAAAAGAGGCATCGTGTATTAAAGGTTTATTGTAAGACCGATGTCCATGAATACGCTTACGTCTCTGTGTATGGTTAAAAAGCCCAATCACATTTACATTGTTACACTGTGGACTGGAAAGATTACCAACACTATCGACATTGTCGACACTGTCCTTAGTTTTCTAATCCAAAATTCTCCACGTTGTCTACGGAATGGTGCACTCAGTGATGAACTGTTTGTGTGGTGGTAAATCTTTTCTAGAATTCTACCTTTCATTGACAAAATAGAATGATCAGGTAAAATAAAATGCTTGTATAAAAGCTGCTGACCCCATTATTTATATGAAATCTATGACCTGATATTCTTTTATGAAGTGATCCCTTGGTTTCACCAACATAAACAAGTCCACAAAGATTACATTCTATTCCGTAGAGAACATTAGGAGATTTGCAGTTTAGATTTTCCCAAGTTTTGGTATAGAAGCTCTGTCCAGTAAGATTACTGGTGAAAGAAGTGTTAGTTATCAAAATGCCACAGGTTTTACAGTTTTTCGCAGAACATTTTGAAATAGAAGACATGAGATCGGAAAAGGAATCTTCAAATATATATGTAATTGAAACTTTACATTCTTTTATTTTTTGTGTGAACTATTGGTTTTATACCAAAACTGGGAATCTGAAGATTGCGCATATATATATTTTGACTACTGGAATCACTTTTTTTTACTCTTATCTTTCGGTCTTTTCTTTTATTACCTTTGGGTTCTAGTTCTTAGCTCTTCGTGACTATTTTGGATTAATCTTTTTTTTTTCTTTTCTTTTCTTTTCTTTTATAAGTGCGTTGGTCTATTTTGATTACATTCTAGAAATTATATTAGATATCTATACGATCACGGTGTCCTAATAAACTTTTGAAAAAGATACAAACATCTTTGTTATTAGTTCCCATGTGAACTTTACTGTGAAGTTTTTTTCAAGCACATCATTCATTCTTGTAAAAGTCTAGAATTTGTTAAACTCTCAGAAACTGTGGCCGATAACAGTATCAGTGGTAAGTTGTGGTGGCTTTGTTGGTCATTGTAATTAAGCGACAGTCAACAGATCGTTATTTACAGTAGCTATGCTGAGAAGAGCAAAAATCTGACAAATGCTGAGATCAGTTTCTAGGTCTTGTGAAGGAGGCTCTATGGTAAATACGAACAAAAATTAAAAGCAAACCCATGCCAATATTTTCATATAAATTGTGTTTCTATTAAAGTAAATCAAATTACAAAAACAGTCAATCTTTTTTTACATGTATGGTGGAATGCTGACTGGAGTTTTGTTATGCCATTTTTACACATAAAGCAGGGGATGCTTACTTCGCCTAATCCTAACTCTAATATTTTAGAGATCCTCGTATCTAGACGGAATGATAATAACTTGAATTTCTTGTTTAGATGTTTATCTAGATTTATATAAACTTGCCTTCTTTGTCCTGTATCACGTTCTTCGAAGATTTTACAGATTAACTCATATGAGAATATTCATGCAGCTAATCAACTGAAAAATCAGACCGGAATGATCCATAACAATAAAACCCCCTTTTTTGTTGATCGTTGCATTTAATAAAATATAGTTATTTTTAAATGGGATTTAAGCACATTGATCTTGGTTAAAAATCAATGGAGAACCAGCATACATGATTTAAATGTTAGTTTCAACCACAAGGCAGTGTATTGATTTGAGAGACCTACTTCCTGGTTTTTCAATACGATTCCAAAACATATTCGTGTAAATTCGGCATTTCCTTCATTCTGTAAATGGTAAGATTTATTCTATTTCAGAGTTAAGAATTGTATTAATTTGAAAATACCGAAAGCCTTAAATTTATTACTTGAACATTTCTTGGGAAAAAAAAGCAGGTATGTTTTAAATTTATTTTTCAATTCATTTATTTTGTTGCCTCAGTGCTCACAATATCTGTTTAGATTTTTTTTTCATTGGCGGATTTTATTATATTCAGTGAGTTTATCTGGCATAACATTACCTTAAAAAGTCAGCAATAATCGTTAGTATTATATCAATAATAAGAATGAAAAAAAAAAAAAGTAAGGTCGATTAAGCTCTTAAAAATTGCTTCAAACACAACAATAGCGATACAATTTTTGCGTTTTGATTCAGGTTCTATTAAAGTGCATCATTTTATTCAAAGTAAACCTGGTTAAATTCACCATGACTGAAAATATAACCATGACATGTTGCATAATATAGAGACTTTTGAGTCATACTTGTATACATGCAGCGCTTTATTGAATCTCATTTAAAAGAAACACCGTCTTTTTAAAAGTAATTTATTTGAATCCATTACAAGTCTAACGTTAAGAAAAAATTCATCCTGGGTACTTATATAAATCTGTATGGTACTATAGTTATAGATTTATTTTTGTTAGTCAACAAATTCGATAAATTATATTTGATATTATTTCTATGTTTCAATCATTTTTGTCAGGTTTTCGGCTAATAAGTTTGTATTGTTTACTAAACCTTTTTGCAAATCTGACATTTCAATTTATATCGCTGAAGTCTAAATTATTGAAATTTGGTTTCATATACTTACTTAAGGACAGATGATACAAACAGAAAAAAATTGGATGCCTAGATTGGTACATATCTTTGGATCTATGTTGATTCTAAATGTTGAAAATAACAAGTTTCTAAAGTATTGATAATTTTTCAACTTTCTATGATGATTAAAATTCAACCTATTTGCAATCACCCTTATAAATCTATTTAAAAAAAATATCTCTTTATATGACATAACTGTGAAATGTAGAATACTCGGAAAAACTAATTCATGTTTTTATATAAACATGTTCAAAAACTGTTATTTTCATTGTTTTTTTTTTTTTTTTTTTTTTTTTTTTTTTTTTTTTTTTTTTGTTTGTTTTTGTTTGTTTGTTTTGTTTTGTTTTTATTTAAAAAAAGGGTTTTGTATCATCTGTCCTTAAGCCACGTCATTTTAATTACGAATGCGTAATTTGTCTGGTACATGTAAGCTGAATTTTGCATTATTCCATTTTGTTTATTAATTTAAAAGCAAACACTCTGTCATACTCGAAACAAAATAGCATTCTCCGAACTTTGATTTGAATTTCCATTTAATAATGCGTGTATAGCATTTTACAGAAATAAAGAATTCTGAAAAGTTAATATTAAAATACAATTAGTTTGATCGATTATGTGGTTCTAAATTTCTTTATTATTATTATTATTATTATTATTATTATTATAATTATTATTATTTCTGATGACAGCATTATTTTAGCTGGAGAGAAAAAAAGCTTAAGTTTTTGTCCTGGTTACATATTTTACTTCGAGTGTTAAAAATCTTAAATGGTAATCGGTTTAATATTTTTTTTTCAATATAGAAGATATTTTGTTAAATCTAATTATATATGATAAAATAATTTTGTTTTTTCAGAGAGTATTTAGAATGAACATTGTGTTTATGACTTTATCTGCAATACTTCTAAATATTGCAGGTACGTACTAAAATTGCATATTTGCAATAATTTAGTGTGTCCCAATAGATTCTCAAACTCACGTTAACAACTGATTTTTCAGATTCAACCTTTTACTGCAATACCTCTCCTGGTAAGTGATTATTACAAATGTACCATGAAATAAAACCAAATTAATCTAAGTCATGTATCAAATTTATGAAAGCTTTACACCAATAGTAGATCGGAATCTTCAGTGATGGATATGTTTACTTATGCCATCCGATATAAACCTGCCTTTCTCACTACATTCGACTAGAATTTCATTAGATAAAATGATGATGATGATGATGATGATGATGAAGATGATGATAAATGACAATTTAAAAAAAAACTGAGGTTAAATAAATGATCTTTGAATTTATAATAGATAAATAATAACTTTTTCTCAATTCCGCGAATTAGAGACCATTTTTGCTGGATGACTTATACAAAATGTTTTAATCCTTTGGTAAGTGATTCACTATTAAAACCACGAAATAAAAAAAAAATGAAATATAAGTGATAATGTATTTATAAGAAATTTTTCAATATAAAAATTTTGATAAATGTTGTACTTTTTTCCCGAAAAAGTTAGTTTTTCCTTGTATGGACCGTTCATTTACTTAGAATATTAAACATTTTTTTCACAAAATTTAGTATTCTGGCATTTTTCAATATAAATTTTGATAAGAACAGCTTTTTTTTTTTTTTTTTTTTTTCATCCGTAAGCAATACAAGAAAACTTTTTGGAAGTCAAATTTTATTTGAACTAAACTTTTTATGTACTGATTCATTAAATTGAAAGTGAAAAATGATTAATGTTAAAGGAAACTCTGCTGTATATCTGTAGATCCCTGTTCATCTTCAACATCATTATTTGAGCCCTTCGCCAGAACAAGGAATTGTCCATATGAAACTAAATACTCTCCCTGTGACAGATACATTACACCAGGATGGTACAAATCAGATGATCCAATACTGGATCAATGCCCTACACTGAACACCTGCGGGGCAATTTATCCTGTCTGGATGAATGGTACTTATTATATAACATATTTACGACAAAATTGTACGTTTAATTTTTAACGAAATAACATTTGCATATAAAATATGGCTTCTTACTCCGTATAGATTCTTTACCTAATATTGGGGATCTTGTAATTACAAAGAAACTATGCAAAACAGGATTTTCTGACTGCTGCAGCAAAGAATATGATATCCAAATAAAAAACTGTGGATCGTTTTACGTTTATTGTATTCCTGCTTTAGACGCCTGTCCAGAAAGAATTTGTTTTGGTAGGAATTTAAAATTATTATGTATCGAATTTTGTTTAAAATCCTTATAAGTTCGTTTTAAATGCTCGCCGACAAAATTAATATATTCATTTTTTTCTTAATGAGTGAATAAGTTACCTAGTATCCTACCTGTTTATTTTCGACAGGAACAAATGGATCATGCGAATACCCAGTTACCGCTACGCCTCAGAGTGATGAAAAACAGTCAAAGGAATACAAACGTGTGTGTCATCTCTTGTTTGCATATATATATATATATATATATATATATATATATATATATATATATATATATATATATATATATATATATATATATATATATGAAAAGAAACAGACTATTCTTTATTATTTGCATTTTTAACAGACAAATACGTAAATTTACTTCGATTCCCTTTACGTGTTATAATTGATACATTGTACTTATATTCAATTTGTTTAACTTTATTTAAAAAGGTGCATTAACCTTAAATTCTTTTATGATGTCTTCCACATACATTTCAGAACTAGAAGCAAAATATATCGGTGCAATATCAGCAGTGATTGTCCTTGTTTGTCTTTTGTCCCTAGTTTCCGTATCCATCTTTTACTACATAATGAAGTAAATTTTAATGTTACTATCAAATCTTAAAGTAAAATATTGATTTTCAAAAATTAGTTATCTTAAGTTTGAAAATTACTCATACCCTTTGTTAAATATATTTATATATACGTCTGAAATCTTATCCTTTTCAGAAAAAGGAAGAGAGAATGTGAAGTCAAAGAAAGTGTTCATGAGCCATGCAAAAAACATGATGACAACATTGCGGGATTTACTACTGATGCACCAAACAGGAATTGTAAAAATGTCCCAGACGTCAATTTTCAAATAATTCATGTTTCAAGTCAATAAATAAGGAACCCGATATAAACTTAAGTCGTTAGTCAATAAATTCCAACTATCGATTCATTCTGTGCATTGTGTATTTTTGAAATACATGTAGTAGAAAATAAGATAAATGATAATATTTCCTGTTTCTCTCTGTTGTATGAAGCTTCTATATTATCAGTGGAAGTTTCTATTCCACTGATAATATTTGCTTGCAGACAATGTAAATTATGGTAAGCTTTTAAATTCTGACGCTTAAAACATAATTAAGATTCAGCACTAAACTCAATTCAGATACTAAAATACTAGTAGTTTTATTAAATACAATATTTTATGAGAATGAAACACTTTCTGAATATTTTTATTTTAATTTTAATGTCTTATTTTATTTTCAATAATAAGAAAAGACCTGTAGTATCCATAGCTGGAGTAAAAGTAGATTTCTTGGATAATTGTATTTAAGGGCTTCATCTGCAGTGTAGGTTTGTTTCTTTTGGACGTATACGGTTAATGTTAAATTAGGTTAGGGAAGTAAGCTTTGGTCAGATTTTTTAAGTACATGCAATTTCCATGTGCATTGTGCACCATATTTGAAGCCAAATACTAGATATATATTGCTAAAATGTGTCTTTGTAAAATGGGAAATGTACTTAATGCATTCATTACGCAAGAGAGACAAAAACATTAATCTACAATGCAAACTAAATATGTATAAACACTGTGGGACGTGGAGACCAGTCCTTCGGATGAGACCGTATAAACAGAGGTCCCGTGTCGCAGTAGGAGCTGGCACGAAAAAGATCCCTCACTGCTCAATGGCCCTAAGTGCCGAGTATAGGTCAAAATTTGCAGCTCTCCACCGGCAAGTGGTTGCGTCTCCATATGAGTGAAAAATTCTCCAGAGGGACGTTAAACAACAAACCAACAAAATCATATGTATAAAACAAATTAGTTAGAAGTCCCCGTCTTTCACTACAAGTTGATTCTGTATTCACCACTAACATAAATCATGATACAGTTAAATATACAATTTATTGTTCATGTTCTGAAGGAAATAACGCATCAAAATTGATTGAAACATACAATTGTTATTTCAAAGATGTGAAGACATTTTCTTTATAATATCTATTCTTTTAAAAACAAGCAAGAATATACGTCGGTAATTTTATATTTTATAAATGGTTCAATTGATTGATTAATTAAATGATTGACTGTATGTTGTTTAATGTTCCATTTAAGAATTTTCACTCAGAGAAGTCACGATACACCGATGAAGGGCCTCAAATGTAGATCTCTAGTTGGCACTCAGGACCATCGAGCAGTTAAGGATCTTTATCGTGCCAACGCCTATCGTGACACGGGCCCTCGGTGTTTAAGATCTCGTCCGAGAGACAATTGACTTTCACTTTTTGTTCCGGGCAAATGACAAAGGAATAGTCACTACCTTTGTTTACGTCTAATGTCTGACGCACGAAAGGGCATCGAACTCGAGGCTCCTTAATACAATGCGACCTCGCTAACAGTAGGCTATCGTGATATCCTGGTATAAATGATTCAAAAATAAAAACAACGATATAACAGTAATGATAAGTAACATCAGGTAAGATGTTAAAAACTTTTTGTGATTAATTCTTTGTCCATTTAATCTTTTTTTTTTTTTTTTTTTTTTTTTTTTTTTTTTTTTTTTTGAAGTTTGATAAGAAACTCGTCAAGACTCAGTATTATTTGCTTTATGCACTGTTAAAATTATTTGAACATTTGTATTGAAATGCTAGAATGGATTCAATTACGATACGTACTCTTTAACTTCATTAATTTCCTCGGACGTTTAACCTTCTTTTTAGAAGCCAAAATATATTTTTGTTTCTATACCATCCTCAAATAACTTGAAAATAAACCTGCTGAAGTGACCATCCGAATAAATTTACTTACACATATAAATTTGATACTTATCTGCAGATGATTTTTATAACAAACAAATCTTGATTTCGATACATGCATGTGTTGTTAGCGTGATTTAACTTTATAACTTTATAAATAAACGTCCTCAGCTTGTGCTTTTCATTTAAAAGCTTTTATTTAAAAAATAGGCCTGTTTCATTGCTAATAGTTTTATTGTACAGTGTTAAAAGTATATTTTTAGCTTTCGTAGTAAGGAAGTTTAAATATTTATGGATTTTACAATCACTCTTTTGCGTAGATGTAAATTGGACCTTTAAACGTACAAGCCTGATATATTGCTTTGTTTATGGATAATAGCAAAAGTTAGATTTCAATTGATTTAAAAACAGATACCAGTCTACACTACAAAGTCAACATTCAGATTTAAAAATCCTTTCAAATCTAAGTGTTTTGGTATTTCGAGTAGATTTAAGACCTTATTTGAAATTTTACGCGGCGCTGTATTGTTTCAGATTGCATTTAATTACATTCACATAGAGAAGATGGAATATGAAGTTAACAAACAGTAATCAAGCTCAAGAATCCATTGAAACAATACTCATTGGGAGCAGAGAAAAAACATTACAGGTGGGACCAGGTGCCATGGAGAAGTAAGCATCCCCTGTCGACCATGGAGAAGTAGGCATCCCCTGTCGACCGACCACACCGGCCGTGTGCTCATTGTCATTATAGGGCAAACGATAAAATCCGTAAACAATATTAGTTCAGTGTTGCATAGTTAAGGCGTTTGCTCTAGAGTCGCGGAGTTAGGAGGATGAATTGTGCGGAGATAACGAACAGTATTCAAGCTCAAAAGTTCATTAAATAATGCAAATTTTGGAGCAGAGCAAACACGGATCTCTAAAACATTAGAGGTGCGATCAGGTTCCATAGAGGAGTGAGCATCCCCTGCTGACCGGTCACACCCGCCGTGTGATCCTTGTTATGATAGGGAAATAAGGGAAAAATCCGTCGAAAATCAGTCTGTAAATAATGGCCTAACATCTAGTATGAAAAACGTCAGTCAGCATTTGATTTAATGAGAAATTGTATTTGCTAACAATGTCATTGTATCGACCATAGAACTAACGAAATGACGAGACTACTGATATTCTTGTTTTATCAACTTGTTTGTCAATAACTTGCCTCGTTTTAGAAATTGTTCATACGTATAGCATGCTCTAGCGTATCGAATCAACTGAAAGATATAATCCCCGTATGCAGGTGATAAGGATATATTGCTGCATAAGTAAGGGAAGTTGACGACGGAGAAGTTAAAGTCATCAAGTTTATCATAAAGCTTGGTTGTTAGATTATCATTAACGTCTGTTTCGAGTTAAATATCCAAATATGAAACAGATGTGTCAGACTCTGTGGTATCTTTTATACCAAGCTCACTGGGATATACTGTATAGATATAAGAATGAAAATAACCACTGGTAATTGACAATACGTCGTCGGTATATCAAAATGTCGAGTTTAAGGCCAAAGCAAGTGGTTTCTTCTTTTCACGTATAAGGTTTTGAAAACATTCTGCTTCATATGAACGCAGCTTTGTTAAGGAGGCTGGGGGGTCAACAAATTAACCACAAATTAACCACCAGATTTAATTTAATTTTTTAGATATGATATCTTAAGCTGTCAACTATCATTTGGCAAAGAAAAATTTCAAAAATTTTAGTTTTAAAATTTGATCATTTTCTATATCTTCATATGGAGCTCTTCTTCTAAAGGAGATCAATATAGTCTAAAAATGGCCACAACCCCCCAGCCTCTTTAAGGCTGTCCGAAGGCTTAATATGCATTAAAATATACCTTTTATTTTGAGCTAAATTTTTATTTCAATTTGTAATCTATGTATGAATTTGCAGTCAACTTGTGATGAGAGTGTAATCAAGTATTGAAATGATGCATTTTTGTGATGTCACATGACTTTGTTGATCACGTGACGGAGATTTATAAATTCCTAAAGTTGCACAAAAATCGAATCAGCACAAGTGCAAAACAACATTATTGAGAGATAATTGTCACATAGGTCAATTCATCGACATCTTTGGTTCATATAAAGTGTCAGCAGGGACCAGTATATACTGATCGTGTAATCTATTTATTTCTTTTTTTTTTACTTCTGAATTATTGAACACAGAAGGATAGTTGGTTTTCATTATGCCCCTCAATCTCTTTATGCGAGATTTTAACATACATCCTATACATTTAATTTATTCTGACAACGTGTCAAGGTCTTCTTTTTTCATCTCTGACCAATCTTCTGGCGTAATCTTCCAGAGTTGATCCTTACGTCGCGGGTCACATGGAAACTGATCCTTCGCTTGAGACCATATAAACCGAGGTTCCGTGCCGCAAAAGGTGCTGTCATGAAAACGATTACTTACTTCTCAATAATCCTGAGTATATGTCTAAATTTGAAGACGTCCACCGGCAAGTGGTTGCATCTCCATATGAATGAAGAATTCTTGAAAGGGACGTTAAACAACAAACAAACACACAATTTAATGGTCTGCTATTAGTATGAAAAAGGTAAGTTAACATTCGATTTTATGATAGATTGTATTTGCTGATAAGGTCATTGTTTCGACCATACATCTTGCGAATTGTTGACTTTAAACAAAATTGTTGATATCCTTTTTTTATCATCTTGTTTGTAAATAGCTTTCCTTGCTTTAGAAATTGGTCGTACGTGGAGCACGCTTTTGCGTACTGAATCAACTGGGAAACATAAACCCCATATGTAGGTGATAATGTTATATTGCTACAAAATAAAGGGAATTGAAGTCATTACGTTTATCATAAAGGTTTGTTTTAAGGTTACCAATAGCGTCTTTTCTGGTAAAATATCAAAATATGAAACAAATGTGTCAGACTCTATGTTATCTTTTATTTCACGTTCACTGGTATGTATCTGAGTCGACATATGAGTGGAAGTAACTATTGATAATTGGTGATACGTCGTCGAAATATCTTAATTGATCTGAAGGCCACATCAAGTGTCATTCTTCTCATAAGAAAGATTTATTTAACAAATTCTGCTTCATTTTAATACAATAACAGGTTTGCTTATAACGGGCGCAACTATTACCTATGGGAATTATGACGAATTGTTGGAAGACTTGGTCTCCAAAAACTACACAGATATTGTCAATCAAAAACTCATCTTTTTCACTTTTACTTAAGAGCACTTCAGAGTCTACAATCAGAATGTTTTTAAACAAAATAATTTTGCAAATGACCAATGACAAGGCAAATAAATTTA